CCCTAATATTAGACTTATTTGTAATTAACGTAAATAAAAATGGTTGTGTAAAAAAAGAATGCGTATTTACTAAGTTTGCTTGAAATTGGTACTTATCAGATACTTAACAGACGAAATATACGTATACTATGATAAGTCGATCGTGAGTAAAATATGGTACCAAGCCTTTTCCCTAATTAGGTTGGAGTCGGCTTTCAGTCTACTACGACATGACTGATCTTCAATTTTTACGTAGAGCGACTACGATCGACCTCCACAACCCAAGTATTAGGTAATATCGAAGTTCTGTAGATAGATTGTTGCCGAACTTTCTAGAGCCCCTACTATCGGACATCGATTAAACCACAAATGATTGCGACAAATTTTCGTATGGCAAACGGGACCGACAACTTAACGTGCTCTCCGAGGCAGGGTAGGGTCTCACTGTTAAGAATGGTCACCCATTGATAGACTGACCTGGCTAGGATTGCTTAACTGCAATGTGCCAACTTACTCGGTTACCACATAGACACGCCAGCCCGTATATACCTAGGTGTGCATGTGATATTTCAAAGGGGTTGCAATATTATGTATGATGTGTGTAAATTCTAACACTTATTGAATGTTTTAAACTACATGATGTTTCACACATTTCTGATGTCTACTTCTTATTTCGTCAATCCTGTATCTAAAAAATTGGTAAATGTCATAAAAAAAAAAATACTTTAAAAAAGCAATTATTATAAGTTATAAGTTTTAAGCGTTATGATTTTGGCGCATTGAAATTACTGTAATTTTTAAATATGATTATTACGGTGTTTTCTTTATCACTGCTAATTTAAGTAAATGTATTAATTGTATAGACAAATTATACTGCACATATGTATACATATCTATATTTGTATATTTAATTAACGACGTAAACGCGCAAATTTAGTTGACAAAGTATTTTTTCTTGCTTGCGCGACCTTTGTTGCCTAAGACACATCAGTTCCTCTTCCTAGTTGTTCAAGCACAATGCTAGAACTCCACTTCCGCCGATCGACTGTTTGTTCATCTCCGTCTCACAAATAAAACACTGCGCATTAACATTATAGCTAGCAAGTAAAGTTACATAAAGTAACATTAAAGCAAGCAAAATTAATTTATGATTATTTTAGTTAGTTAATACTGACGAAAACAATGTCATTTATAATTAGCTTGTCTCATTCTATCCTCAATAGAAAGAAAATAAAGGTGATATATGGAACTCACGGCAAGCGATGCGATTTGTTTCTGTGCCTGTGCATTGTTTCTTCGTTTCATTTGTTTTTGTAAATTTAGGTTATGGATAATTAAAATTACTTGGCCAAAGGAAAGAATCATTGACCAATCTTATACTAATTAGAATTATGTTCTGAGATTTTATCTTTTAATGCTAGTAAACTTTTGTTCAAAAGATACTTAATCCCTCTGAGTCATTCTTGGTTTTGGTAGACCATTTGGCGATAAAGACATTGAGCCGTCTTGGTTCACACAAACATAAGTTAACTTAGTATAGCTATTAGAAGTTAAAATAACTAAAAGTATGTGGGATGTACATCAGAAATGTGGATAGTTGAACACATAGAAGTATCATAAGGACGAGCAAAAAATTTTAAGTGTCTTTTTTCATATAGCCGGGATTTGCAACGGTCGGCGGTCTTTCATTTCCCTGAAAAGCGCAATTTTCTGCATTCACTATGGCCGCCTAGTGAAATCGTTATCGTCTGTTCGTTGCGGCGGCGCCCATTTCCTAATGGCGACTTCGCGTGCATTTAGCTTTTTTCGCTTTAAAATGACTGTAGCATATTGCATTTAACTAAAAATCGTTTTGTTTCCAATATTCTTGATCACACTATAACTAGTGATATATGAAAAGGAAATTATTATTTGGAAATCATTAATGTTGTGAGGAATGCCACAAATATGCCATCTGAAAGGGACAATGTTGCCAACGTTTAAGTCCTTATAATTATGGTAAAGTAAAGCAAAACGTGATAAACACCACCATTTTTTTACCAATCCTTAAACTGTTTGTTATTTTAGAATAGGTTTCTGAACCACGAAGACAGGAATATTGGCAAAAAAATATATTTATCTCTAATTAAAATTGCATTGAAGGTACTTGACACAAAGTCCCCACTTACAGAATTCAAAAGAACCAATCGAAAAGGCGATTAAACTAGCATTAAATAGAAAAACGGCACTACCCTAATGAGGAAGCATATACAAGTTTCACAATAACTCTGCGTCAAAATGACAACATTGGTAATACCCAAATGTCACCACTTGTGGAAAGAGTAGGAGTTGGTACTATAGGGACGTTGTGCACGTTCAATAATGTTTAAAGAAGATAAATGTTAAAGTAGTCAAAAATTGCAATGAAATGAGTTTCCTTAAGATCTTAATTTACAAAGGCAAAAAATTAATAGTCGTACCAAGCGTTGTTTTTGAAGTGTTTTGAAGAAAATTTCTCGTCTTTTTCTAATGTGAATTCGTTGTTACGCCCGCTCAGTTTCTGACTTGTGTACCATAAAGTAAATTACGTTGAGAACAACGGGAAGCGAGGCAACAATTATATTTCGGGAGTGAGGAAAAAACAAAAGGGTCGTTTCAGGATTCCGGTGGGAATTTCACATCCCGCCCGGTTTTGTGCCGCTGAAAAGAGCCAAAGTACCGGAGGAATACTCGGAAATTCACGACGTTACATTTTATCCTATTTTATCTTCGTTGCCCTACTTTGTCTAACATCGTTACACACATTGTCATTTTAAATTCTATTGTAGTGATTGTAGGTATAAAAACATCAGGTTTGGTATAATTATCCGTGGTTGTGTACAATTATCTTCAAGTGTTATATGTAAAACAAGGGTGCAAATCTGTGATGTGTAAATTTCTACTGTACTCTATGAATGTGATATTTAACATAAACGTTTTCCACTGCCCAAGTTTATATCAAATTAATGGTAACTCATCAAAACAGAAGCAAGCTCAGCGGTTTTCCAAATGTAGCCGCTTCCACTTTCTTTCTATTTACTTTCTTCTTCAGGCGGCCCATGACATGTTCTCGTTAAAAATTCAATATACTCTCACACAGATTTAACTTACACATGGCTGTGTAAGTTAAATCAACTTAAAAGTTTAGTTTGTGTTGAACTGGTGGTTTTTTTACGGATTTTTTCATGAAGAATCTATTTAAATTTGAATTAGTAATCTATTTAATAAAATAAAGTACCTTTTAAATATTAAGGAGCTTATTATAAGCTTAAATGATAATACCGCCTTACTTAGTACTGAATACATTTTTTTTTGTAATATACTCATCTAGTCCAATATTAATATACCAGAACTATGTGCCACTTATGCCTATTAGTTTCAAAGATACTAAATTGCCACAAGCTATTTATAGTAAAATTACTTACTACATAAGGAAAATCTGTATAATAATTTACTTGATTGCAGTTTACTAAGTGTAGTAAACTCAGAAACTATTAAAAACTATAGGAACTGTTTTGCTAACAGTAATACAGAGGTCTTCCTATAGTTACCAAACAAATTGTAAAAGAAAACTAAATCTAATGTGAGATTTGTAATTAAATGGACTCACTTAATTTCAAGTTTATTATGAAGGCTGTATCACATATGACAAAGCCCTCTTTGGCAACGTCACTGGCTTAGTTTAAGTATGTACCTACTGGGGAGGACAAGATAAATAGCCGGCTAAAAGACAGGTGAAGGAACCTTGTGACGTCACTTCCATCGCAGGTGTGCCTTTCTGTTCAAAGCGAAAACCCAAATATTTCTCTAAAGGCGGTTGACGTTAACCATTAAAAAATGAACTTTATTCGTGACCCTATTATAACCTATATTTAAAAGAACACTACTAAAAAGTCCCTAATGGTATCCAGTACTTTTTCGTTGGCGCTAATGTAAGTTGTGAACAGTTCTTTTGGCCCGACAAAGGAAAAGTCATTTGCATTTCTAGACTTTTTAAGGCTCCCGCCATACATAAGCTTAAAAGGTGCTATCAACTTGCTAAATCAAATAGCCAGCTTTGAATGAAAGAGTTTTACTGAACAGGTTAAAACATCTAAAGTCGTCGCACAAACCCAACAAAGTTACTGGTTTACCTTTATTTACATTGTGTATTTTGTCCTGTTAATTGTTGTTACACGAGTTCTGGTGAAAGTTAGTCTTCTCAAATGACTCATATTTGAACAAACAATATTCACATGTAAATTAGGACAAAAGCGTTCTCTCTCTTGTTCAAGTTTCTCTTAGATTTTGAATGTTAATCTGCCTGCATTACGTTAAAAAATCTATTTATTAAGTCTTCGTTGCGGTAATTAAATAAATTGACTGCACGGATGGCGTAGTGGTTCAAGCGGTCACCTCGCCGCTTCCTACTGCGCTGAATGTTGTGAGTTCGATCCCACATGGGACAACAGTTTGTGTGATTCACAAATTGTTGTTCTGAGTCTGGATGTCCTTTGTGTCCGTTTCATGTATGTTTGTAGTGCCCCGCGACACAGGATTTATTCCTAGTGCGGGAGTGAGTTGTGAGTGTGAGTTGTCTTTTTGTAAAATAAAATAAAAATTGTAATAATATATTATATTGTTCATTTTTTTTTTCAGTACGTTTATTCACTTTGAATTTTGTTTTCATTGAATTCGCTTTTATATCTATGGTGAAGAGGATGGTAATGGGCTTGTTTTGACGGCGCAGTCGGCCTACTGCAGCAGGGCCTGAGCCTTAGAAGAGTGGCTGGCCCCCGGCCGCGGCATGTATACCTGCGCGTGCGCCGCGATGCGCACCTCCGCTTCACCGCACCGCGGAAACGGCAGGTAGCTTGCGCTGTGCCGAACGTGTTTCAGTGCGCGCGTTCTCTCGCCTCCGTTGGTAGTGTTCGTGGTGCGCGACGCAATCGCGGTGTTCGTAACTATGATTTCTATATCTCGTTTGTGAAGTGGTTTAAATAGTGAATCAGTCGATATACGAAATGTCCTGTGAAAGGAGAACTAGGGCCGCGCGTTTCCTCGATCTGCGGTGAGTTAACAACTCTGAACCACGTTTCCCGTCATTCTCATAACCGATTCACCGATCCTTTGTTGGATTTGAATCCTCCGTGTGACGTGTGTCCGTGTCTTTTTACGTATTACTACACCTGTAGAGTTCTCAAATGAATTAAGTGACAGTGTATAATCTCGGCTATATCTGTGTTCTTATAAGAAAAATATATGTTGTCGGTTCAGTGCCTATGGCTCCTAAAACACTGTTTTTTTTTTTGTGATTACAAGCGTTCTGAGAGTTTTTGTGTTAAAATGTTATCTTTCTGCAATAAAGTAAGTAACGTCAACATTTCAAGTACAAAGTCATTAATATAATGACCTTGACAACAAAGTTACGAAACTAGCGGCCAGATTACACATTATTTTGTTTTAGAAAATGGTGATCACGAATTTTTACTGTAACCATGTTTTGGAAACCAATTTTTTTCTTATCTGAAAACAAAAATAGCACGCCGATTTTAAAATGTCCATTCTATGCTAAAAGATTTCAACATCTTAAGGCAAGACTTTATACAAAACTGCTAACAAACGGTTGACGTCCTATTTTCGCCATTTTAAACAGTAGTTACTCTACATTAGTGTGTCGGTTGCGAGAGCGCCTCATTTCTGGTGGAATGCAAGCGGTAGGGCAAGAGTGACTCGGCTAAGGCGCAGATGTGGGGCGCGGGCGCACTCCCCGCCTCGCCTCCCGGCCTTGAAAGGCTCTTGACCAGGCCAGCGCCGGCGATGTCGTATTTATTGCAACCTCCACGATCCGTACCGACGAGGTTATTGACGCCTTGCGGCTTGGTGCCTTCACCTAAGAACTATTCTTTATCATAAGAATACTATAATAGCAATGCCGTTCCAGTCAGCTATAATGTTTACCCTATCCTTGTAGCGATTGTTCTCACGTTGATCTTGTTATAATGAATAACTACAATAGTTATTACGTCATTGACTAAGCGAGTTTCCGCCTTCAAAGTTTGGTAGTTAACGACATGAGTCACGCAACTGACATGCACGCTTCATAATAAATCTGCAGTACACAATGTATTGTGTGAACAAACAAATATCTTTTAGTTTTAAGTGCATTGTCTTGTTTGTGTTAAGTATGTTAAATACATACGAACAGACGTATAGAATTTCAACTTTAAATGTTGCATAATGGTACTGGCTCGCGCAGGGTCGATGCTTAATAACTTATTTTTCTGACATTTTCTTTTATAGTAGCTTAACGAAGAAAAAAGACTTAATATTTATATTGGACGAATTACCATTTAAATTTAAGGCAATATTTTTATCAGCCAGTTACTAACACTACTGCACATTTCACCTACATTAAATTTTTTATTTAAATAATCGTGTGCAATGAGTTGAATCAGCTGCCAGTGTGCCATATGGCGCCGAGATCCACACTTCATAAAGCGAATGAGGCCGACATATGTTGCCGCTTTCACTCCCGGCATCACAATCGATATTACGTATTAACCTCGTGCGAAGTCGCGAAACAAATCATTGAACATGATGACAAAAATCGAACTCCTTAAATATTTATACAAAATTTTAAGATGTGTAGATGTTTAAAGAAATACACACTGGAAAAGACTGAGTACTGATGTATTTGTAAGTACGTTTCGTACAGGTACTTTCTATTATTGGTGCCAGAACATATTAAATGCCTTGCTTTATCTGAATAACTGCAACTATATACGTGCCACAAATTACGTACTTTAATTAATCTGTATATTAAAGCTCAATGCACGGGCGGCCGCAATGTTGAGGGTAGTTTTGCCGACAGCAGCTGGTAACCCCAGAGTGAGTCACGTCCTGTGTGCCCCACTGCGAGCCGGGGTGCGTGTCGTTGACCCCACTCGCAGCCCCATGCAACACATACGACGCGCCATACAATTTATCCATTGCCTTTTGTGATCTCTATTAGTACAGGTTTGTAGTTCATACTGCATATCGTAATACTACTCTTGTTTGCAATCCCCCAGTTTATCCATTTTGCATGGACAAATGATTGTCATTCGATTTGCCACACATTTATACATATTCACTACATTCGAAATGATTGAATATAGTGAAAAAAAATATTTTCGGCATATGTCTATCTTTTATCGAACAAACAGATTATTACAATTTATTAGATCAGGAAACGAAAGAAAATATGTAAAACACCTTTATAAAAAATCAGGCAGTTAGCAATGTTTTAATTGTGTCAAGTGTTAGTTTATCAGTATAATTTAAGTAGAAATATACTGCGAAATGACATTGAAGTTATGGTCGATACCCGCGAGGCGTTTGATCCGGCCACCACCGCACCTCGTACCGGTTTCCAGCAAGCCGAGACAGCATTGTTGATCCTTCTACAGAAAAAACAAAATGAAACAATCTGTTTTTTGTTCCCGCTCTCCTCGCTACTCGTTCGCTATCTTTGCTTGGTTATTGTTACCATTTTATTTGAACCTTATACCAAGGCGTTTTACTTGACTAAAGTTAGTATTTAAATCTGTTTTAAAAGTTATAACTTTGATGGCATTAGCGTTCACGGAAGCGTCTGAATCCTCGTCATCAACTTGGGTCACGCTTCGATGACGCGTTTTGCTTAGCAAATAACATTGCTTCCTGCCTACACTACAACCACACTTTAGTAAGAACTTCACGTGTTCCTTTTGCGTTAGTAACGAACAAGTATAACCTCACACAATTCTTTGTAAGCTTTTTGTACTTTGAAGGTTTATTTTTTGTTCATAGATTGAATGTACAACTCGCTTTGTTACTGGTAATCAAGGGGTTTTATAACCTATCAAATGATTATGAACTTACAAAGTCAAGTTTTACTGTATACTAGAACAACGTTAATTTTTTTAGTATACTTTGAAAATCTCGATATTGAGGACTAAGTATCTACGAGTATGAATATTAGTAATCTAGAAGATACTTTACCTCATGGAAGATAATGTCGGGTTTGTCAACGCCCATTACGAGTTGATGGTGAGGTACGACTACATGAATAATTCACTACGGTTTCAACCCTCCTCGCCACCCTCCCACCAACGCAGAACAGACGTAACTGAAAGGTTTTGCTGATAAAACAATACTTCTCTTAAAGTATTGGTCTATACAACTACATTTTCGCGAGATCGACAAATAGTAGCTGGTACTAGTACTATGAAGAACCATTTTTATTCCTTACGTGAAAATCTGTTTTTAATATCTCTGAAGTGTGTATGATAAAGGTACCTAAAATGAACTTTAACATGTAATGACAAGTTGATCCAACAATCTTAACTTAGACCGGTTTCATTCATGTTTAAAAAAATCTTAATAAATCTAATACCAAAGCTGCAACTGCGGTCGCGTTGGCCCAGACTTACTTTAACTTTCTTCGGACACGAGGTACAATGACAGTCTTACTCTCTCACAAAAACAATTTTAATTTTACCTTGAAAGTAATACAAATCTCGGAAGTAGCTACCTTTATATTTATAAATCTGAAAGATAAAAATCAAAATGTGTTTATTCGTATTTTATCCGCTGCCGTATCATTCATTCATCATCATAACTTTCATTGTAAAATTTTGCAATTGGCAGGAATCCAGAAAGGAAGTACCTTTCAGTTGGAAAATAATCCAACGCAGTTTTTTATCTTGTTGAATAGGTGTCATACTTAGAAACTAATTCTACATGTACATGTTAAACTAGTAGACAAAAATTAGTTTTATAACAAAGTCAAATTAACTAGCGTAAACTACACGGAAATCATGTGGTATAACAATATCCTTCCCTTTACAAATACCATACAAACCTATTTTTGATACGAAATTATGCATTTACGACAATTATACCAATCTGCACATTACATTTACACAAATAGGTGTACTGTCTTTGATAGAACTCCTAAGACACGAATTCCTGTTAAAGACGTTTCAAAGTAGTGTGTGTCCTTGTCACTTGAAAGGCTAACACAAGCGTGGAAAGAGGGTGCAGGGGAGGCTTTGTTCTGCGCCGGCCTCTCAGACCACTTAGAAGATTGCTAGGCTTTGTCTTCACACGATACTTCTTTATTTATACCAACTGAGGATCTCGCCTATGACTGTGGTTTTAGATTTATTTACACCCCATAAAATTAAAGCCTTATCATGGTTACTGATTTAAGTAAATATTACTGTAACAAAATTGTCTAACAATATATGTGGTGCAATTTACAAGGGTATTCGTTATGTAAATATGTGCTGATTCCTACACAACTGTCAACGTAGGCCTTGTTTAAATTGACATAAGCCATTGTGTATAAATGCATGTTCAATGACCTAGATTTTGGTTTACTCATCCTTACATCCTTTTAGATAAATTCTTTATAGTTCTGAATATTTGTTTTTGACTTTTATTTCAGGATATTTTTGATATATATATAAGACAGGTTGCCTTGTTTAAACTATAGAGTAAGTTAGGTGCGTTTATTTATTTCAATTACCTTATTAGGTTTTTTTCTCCATAATACCTGAATAAGCTGGGTGCAGGTGTGGCGGGCGAAAGCAGCGCTCCCTTGACACGCTACGGCGCGCGCGCATTGCAGTCAAGGCCCTCTACTGCTGCATGCACTCGACCCAACAAAACGCACTCCCAACTTAATGAACGTACAACATCTGACTCAACCAGTACTAATATTATTATTATAAAACATTTCTCCATGATATAAAATGTTTATGTCATCAAACAATGTACATTATACATCATAACATTTTTAAAACATAAGTGTTGCATTTCGCTATTAAATTAATTTTAAAAAGATTATAAAATTTAGTAGGTGTGTATGACATACGTGACCATGGCACAATATCTTTATTATAATAAGGCACAGTCAACGCATCCTTGACACGAGGACTACAGCACAGCGTGCTGCATCGCAGCATGTAAAGCCACACACTACACCGCGAGTCGTTATGTAATCATCACCCACCACTAACATTATTCAACACCTATTATATGATCCACTTGTCGTCCGTTATTAACACAACTTGACAGACATATAGTTGTTATAAACCAAAAATAACTTTAGAGACTTAATATTTGATTTATAGAACCTGTATCCCAAAAAAATGGTAACCTTTCGGGGCCAGGGAAACCGCTTATTGGATTTTTCCTTGACACAAGGCCCTGTTGCAACGCGACAACCGACACAAGGTTGCTGTGACACGCCCTAGCGATTATTTAATTGTTACTTAAACCAAAGATAGTCCATCGTCGCGATATCGAGGTCTGAGAACAAGTAAACTAATTGACTATACTAAGAAAAATCATTTATCAAGGTAACAGTTTCAAACTTTTTGTTATCATTGTTTTTTATCGTTAATTTGAGTAATGTAATTAAGGACAAGGAAAGTTCAACTTTAAAATTTCTATGAATGCTTAAGTTTTAAAAGTATAACAATATGGTATAAAATAATTTAAGATTTAGTTGATTGTGCCTTACGGCTACCATCGTTAAGTAATATTTGTCGTTTAAATATAAAACATATGCCTCCCAGATGGTGCGACACCACCTATTTATGCTTTCGTAAGATGTCCCCCGAAGCAGAGTCGTAACTTTCTACAAACGGTAAAAGGTTAACTATATTGAGGTGGACGATTCATGAACTTTAAGGGCCAGTTTAAAATGATGAAAATAATATGTTGATTTTAATAACTTATTTGCACAAAACGAATCATAATTAAATTTCAATCTAATCTTCTTCTTCGTTTTCTTCTCCGCTTCTGTGTTCTGTCACTGTGCTGTACACCACAGAAATATTTAACTAATTTTATTTAAAAAACATTCCCATTTTCATGTTTTTAACCGACTTCAAAAACATAAAAGAGGCGGTTATCAATTCGCCTGTATTTTTTTGTATGTTTTTTACGCGATATCTCCGTCAATTGTGGACCGATTTTCAAAATTATTATGGTAATCGAAAGGGTATACTTTCGAGGTGGTCCCATTTCCACCAAATCAGGATCTGATGATGGAATCCTAGAGAAATTGAGGGAAACCCTCAAATCGTACTCGTAGGTATTTGCGTTAAGTAGTCGTTATGTTCCTTAGACAAAGGTTACTATTGTAATTTACGTAATGAGTGAAAGGGACATTTCAAAAAGACATCAACGGGTCATCAATCATCATCAACAGCCTATACTAGTCCACTGCTGGACATAGGCCTCTCCTTAGAAAGGTGCTTAATTGTTATTACTTTGCACCAGTATCAGTTAAACTTGATGTATTTGAAATAGGTTTACGTGATAAGAATATAATTTATATATGCCATCTTTTTGATAACTGGACTGACTAACTTAGCTGACTTGACACAAACTTAGTCATAAAAATTACAGAGGTATTTCAATACTTAACACTGTAGGTAAAGTGTTCGAAAAACTCGTATATAATGCTATATATCCCTATATACTCGCTGGGATTCCGAACTCACAACACGGATTTTTAAAAAGACGTTCTACAGTCTCAAACCTAGCCTGTTTTTCGAATTATCTCTTTAAGAATGTGGATAATGGGGGGCAGGTAGACGTAGTATACACGGATTTCGAAAAGGCATTTAACCGGGTGGATCACATCATTTTGCTTAACAAGTTATTCAGACTCGGTATACGTGGTGATCTGTTGAGGTGGGTTCAATCTTACCTAGCCAAAAGGTCTCAAGCAGTAGTGATTAGAGGGTACCGTTCCAACTTTTGTGAAATCCCCAGCGGTGTGCCACAGGGTTCGCATTTAGGACCGCTGTTATATAACGCATATTTATATGACATCTCTGATGCCATCAACAATTCTGAATATTTAATGTATGCTGATGATAAAAAAATATTTTTAAACATTAAGGGTCTTAATGATTGTGTGGCACTCCAATCTGACCTAAACCATCTAT